ACATACAGGATCATGCTGGAAGATGCAGAGAAAGCCTGTCAATGGATCCAATATTCTCTGAGGGGAAAAGCTGTGGAGAAGCTAGGAATAGTTGGAGCCTTCCTGCACATAATGCAGGCTGGTTAGGACAAACTTCCAGTGAACATATTCAAAGGTGAAAACCTAAACCCGTTGCTTCTAAAACCAGGAACAAGATGTCCACTCTCTTCACTCCCTTTCAGTATGCTACTGGGATTCCTTCTTGCTAGAGCATTAAGGCAAGGAGGAGACAAGGGAGAACCAAATGGGAGGGAAGAAAGAAAGGCAACTGTGCTCATTTGCATACAACTTAATCCTCTGTAGAGTGAAAGGATCTCAGAATCTGCCTAGCCCTCATCCTCTTAGATCAGCTTAAAAGCCTGGGCAAGAGGAAGGAGTTGGTGTGCTCTTTGGAAGAAGGTTGTGGAGATCACAGGTGAAAGCTCCCAGCAGGATCATCCATATGGTCTGCTTGTAAGGACCACGTAGAGGAAGAATGGGGGGCTTGAAGTATAACATCTATGACACCATCAGGGACCAGAAAAGACTGATTGTTGCCCAAACTGACTCCTGCTGAAGCAAAATTCTTCTCAGGAAATGGGATGCCATTTTGAAGGCCATTCTTCTCTGGAGGCCTGTGAAATCCCAGATGGAATGATCCTAGAATTTCACTACCACTGTAGATAGAGACCTTCCCTGTCTTCTGTGTATTTCCCACTTTTACTTCTCCTCCTGTGAGGGGTACTTGTTTAGATAAAGCTCACATTATCTGAGGTCTCAGGGATTTGGGGGGAGATCCCAGACGAGCCCCCACAAATATGTAGAGCCCAAGTCGCAGGACCCGCACCAAGAAGACCACCGAGATTCAAACATTCCAAAATGCAAAAGCAATGCAACAGGATGACAGGATTGAACTAACTCCCTGCCACCACAGCAGCTCAGCCTCAGGCGATTGGTTTGTTGCTTTGTGACTCTTATTTGTGTCTTCTTGTCCTGTGAGAGCACTGATTACTAGCAGGCAAAAGACTATTTTAACCACGGATAAAGAAATTGATGGTTGGCTACCTGAACCATGCTTTTACCAGAAAGAAGGTTGACTGGCCAGGGATCTGAAGAATCTCTTGTGTTTCATACAAATGAGTCACACATAAAACAGGCATTAATCAGACATGAAAAAGTCAAATGGGCCGAAATCTACTTCTGACCAGGTTTATTGTGCAGCTTCAGGATATCCTGTTTCTGTTCTTTATGTATTACCTTATTCTTTAAGGGATTGCCTTGTGGCCTTCCCAGTAGCAATGCAGATGGTCCCACGTAAGCTGCCCCAACACACATACGACTAACAGGTCAACCCCACCAGCCCCCATTCTGGAAAATGCGGACTAGAAAGTGCTTCTGGCTGGAGGGGTCACGTTTACACTCCCATACCTGTATTTGTAGGTGTTCAGTGGATTCATGGGCAGTTATACATGCCAAAGTACCTACATCATCACCTTCTACCAAAGTAAACTAGACATTTTCTTGTCCTGATATAAATACATGGAATGCTCTACTCTAAGCTGAGAATCTTATTACTGTGTAGATCCAAGAAGCCTACAGAGCACAGGATGTTGCCCAAGATCAACTTTCCTTGACTTCCTCCCAAGTTCTGTCTTCCCTTTCCACTTCCAGCTCTTTGTCATGGAAACAATACCCTGAGTACGCACATTCACAGACTTCCCTAAAAAGATCAGATGATCTCTCTCTTTTATGAACATCAATACCAGGTCTCTCAGGGAAATACTAGCCAACTGAATTGACCTCATTGAAAACAGAGACACACTAGGCAAATAGGATTCATGCTAGGCGTACAAGGATAGGGCATCCTCTATAAACCAATCATTGCCACACAACAGATGAAATACAGACAAGAAATGCAGGACCTTTGGGGTAGAGGCAGAAAAGGCGTTTAGCAAGATCCAGGATGCTTTGATATTCAAAGCTCTGGAAGGCTAGGAATACATGAAAACTTTCTCCAGGTGGGCAACTTCCACTAAACATACTCAAGGATGAAAACCTCAAGTCATTCCTTTTACAACCCAGAACCTGACAAGGATGTCCACTTTTTCCATGCCTTTTCAACATAGGGCTGTTCTTCCTTCCTCCAAGCCTACAGAGGCAAGAGAAACACCTGGGAGAACCAAACAGTAAGAAGGGAGGAAGAGAAGAAGGAAGGTATGGAGGGAGGGAGGGATGCAAAGACAAAGGGAGGGAGACAGGGAGGGACAGAAGCAAGACCGAAACCCACCCTTAATTGCAAAGGGCAGAATCCTATCACTGGCAAAAGAGGTCAGACTCCTTTTATGTTCAAAGCTCTGGAAAAGTTAGGAACACATAGGACTTCCTCCACACAATAAAGGTTGTTAATAAGACACTTCCTGTAAACATACTCTCCATGATGAAAACCTAAAACTACTTCTTCTAAAATCATGAACAAGAAATGCATGTCCATTTTCTCTACTTCTCTTCAATATACTACTGAGATTCCTTATTGCAAGAGCATTAAGACAAGAGATAGACAACTGAAAACCAAGTAGGGAAAGAAGAAAAAGGAAAACTATACATTTGCATATGACCATCCTATTCAGACTTCACCCTGCTTACAAGCTCTTAGATTTGATGGAAAATTTGGGCAAGACATAGCAGGTAGTGGAACCTTGAGCCTTGAACCTTCAAAGAAATTCTGCATTAAGTATAACACTGAGGACACCACTGCAGACCGGAAAAACTCAGCACTGCCCCAAATGACATCTTTTAGAACAAGATGGTTCTGATGAAATAGTAAGGCCATTTTGAAGGACCAAAAGACCCTGGGTTACTATGAAATCTGGAATTTTACTATCAGTAGGGAAAAAGTTCTTCTCCTGTCCTCTCCAAACAACCACACTCCCCCCCCCCCCCCCCGCCACACACACACCTCACTTCTTCCATTGCTATGGATGCTTGCTTGTAAAACTCACAGTAATGAAGACTTAGATGCCAAAGAAGAAAAACTAAAAACAAAACAAAATGTTGACAAGCTAGAGGGATATAAGAACTTGAGCAGGGAGTTGAATGCTCCAAGAGGATGTATATTCCAGAAACATGGCCAAGAAACCCACTCTGGACATCGCTCCTGAGCAACTGCAGTGCAGAAACAACACAAAGGTAGCACATGATCTACTTAACATACTTCCTCAATATAGCTAACTCCCAAACCATCTCAGATCACTCCATGTTTCTCACTTTGGAGGAGTAGCCAGAGGATCTATTTCCTGCTGCCTACCTCTCAACCTGCTTCAACATTACTCAACTTTTGGAAATGTTACACAGAAACAAATCATGACCCAATCACAAAGTATGCATTCTATGGAAAATTGCCAGAGCCACAGAAACCCCTGAGTTCTGGGAAATAGAATACAACAAGGAAGGATTCAACTAAACCCCTGCCACTACAGGTGCTCACCTTGGGGTTATTGGTTTGCTGCTTGGGCCTCCATTTGTGGCTTGTCATACTGTTACAGCAGCACAAACCAGCAATGATCAAGACTAATTTTTAGAGAGGGTAAAGGAGTTTATTGCTGATGACCCAAGTCAGGCTAGATCCAGGAAGAAGTTCAAAACCTGAAGAAGCAGAATTCTCAGGTTTGATACAAGGTGTTTACACACAAGTAGGCATTAATCACATATACACCAGATCAGGTGGGCTGTCCTGAAGTCCTGAGCAGGTGGTCAAGTCCTTTCTATTTATGCAGATTCATGGTATCCTGTGGCTACCCTTTTCTATCATTATTGAAAAGAATGCCTTGTGGGTTTCCTACCATCACTTTAGCTGGCCCTACCTAGTCTGCCCAACCCACATTCCAGGAACTGCTCCAGCCCTACCTAGCCACCATTTAGGGACTGCTTTGGGGCCACACTCTGCCACTAGGGACTGCAAAAGGCCTTCACCTGGACAGGTCAATTTTCTATTTCTAAATCTGTATCCACAGGCAGGCAGGGACACGTCAACAGCTATAAATGTCTACATTTCTAAGTCATCACCTCCCACAAAATCAAGGAAGACATTGGTTATTACCCATGCAAATACATGTGATGGCGACACTCACAGCTGAGAATCCCACTCCTGTGGGCATCCACGAAACTTACTGAACAGAGGATGTTGTTTGAAATGGATTTTGGTTAACTCCCAAGCTCTGTCTTCCCATTCCATTACCCACATCTTTGCTCATGGTAGCTATACCCCATGGACCCACATTGAGAAAACAAACTCAGAAAGATCGGCAGACCTATCTCATTAATGAACAGGAAAACACAGGTTCTCCGTGAAACACCATCCCACCCAATTCAACTTATAAAAATGAAATCGATGTACACTACAATTAAACAGGATTCATCCCAGGAACCCAAGATTAGTTGAACATGTTTAAATCAATAATTGCCACCTATCAAAAAGAAACAAAGACAGAAAACAAGACAAGATCCAATCTCCTTTGACATCAAAAGCTCTGAGAATTTAGGAGTACTCAGATCTTCATCCACATAATCATGGCTGCTTATGACAAACTTCCAATGCAAAAAACTTCCAGGGAAAAACGAAAACAACTTGTTCTAAAAGCAGAAACAAGACAAGGGAGTCCACTTCTGTAATCCTCTTTAATATACTCCTAGGATTCCCAGTTCTAAATACACTGAGACCATTTTAAACCAGAGTACCTAATAGGGTGGGACGCAAATTTGCATATGTCTCAGACTCCACCCTGCCCCGAAGCTCTTCCATCTCTATAAAAGCCAGCACTCCACACAGATTGTGCTATCTTTGGAGGAAGCTTCCAGGAGATTGCACGCGAAAGCACCAGCGAGGATCTGGATCACTCAGGTGGTTTGCGCGGTCTGTCTGCGGAAGAAAGTCGCCTTCAGATTCTCAACCAGCGCCAGGACCCCGTTGCGGCTCCAGGGGAAAGATGGCTGACGTGCTCAGTGTCCTGAGACAGTACAATATCCAGAAGAAGGAGATTGTAGTGAACGGAGATGAGGTGATCTTTGGCGAGTTCTCCTGGCCCAAGAATGTGAAGACCAACTACACGGTTTGGAGGCCCGGAAAGGAAGACCAGCCCAGAGAATACTACACATTGGAATCCATCTTATTTCTGCTTGATAATGTGCACCTTGCTCATCCACTTTACGTTCGACGTGCAGTCTCGGAAAATATCCCTGCGGTTCGAAGACCTGACCGAAAAGATCTCCTCGGCTATCTCAATGGTGAAGCGCCAACATCGGCAAGTATAGACCCAGGTGCGCCCCTGGAAATAGGAGTGCAGAGATCCACTCAAGTCAAACGACCTTCACAGGAAGTTCCACCCGAAGCAAAGAAACCACGAAATGAGGAGGTAGAGCCCATGTGCCCGGCAAAAGAGAGACTGGCTGCTCTGCTGCAGGGCCATAAAGAAGGAATTGTGAAGACTGAGCAGATCAGGGCTTTATCTGAAGCAATGTCAGTGGAAAAGATTGCCTCGATCAAAGCCAAAATCATGGCTAAGAAAAGAGCAACTATCAAGACTGATCTCCATGATATGACTCCCCGGAACCAGAAATACAGAAGCTCTGTAGATGGTGAAGTGGACGCGACCCAAGATATTATCAGCAGAGAGAGGGTGGGGAGGACGCGGACAACTATCTTGCAGAGCACAAGAATGGACTTTTCCAATATTTTTGCAATTCTTCGATCTGTAGAAGCCAGAGAAGAAAGGCAGGCACCTGACCAGCGACCAGCTCCACTGGCAGCGCCTGTGGATCCCACCTTGCATACTAAGCGGCCTATGCCAACAGCCTACAACAGATATGACCAGGAAAGATTCAAAGGGAAAGAAGAAATTGAAGGCTTTACAATTAACACGACAGACACCTACCATGGCCGGACACTGAAGTCTGTAAGGGAAGAAGTATCGGCTCCTAAGGCTCACACTCCAGTAGCCCAGCCTGTCCCAAGACCCATTTCTCCAGCAAGACTTCCCCCAAATCAGAAGAAAGCATCACAGACACCCATTATCATAGTACCTGCAACTACCACTTCTTTAATAACCATGCTGAATGTGAAAGACCTTCTGCAGGATTCAAAATTTGTCCCACCGCTTGAAAAGAAGAAACAAGGTTGTAAACCACAGAATCAAACGCTGGTACACAGGACAAAAGGTCAGATGGGGGCAGAGGGTGCTGCAGTTTGGCTCACAGTACCTTATAAAGTGGTCGACCAGCCCCTTCAACTTGGGCCTCAAGACTGGGACCAGGTTGTGGCAGTGTTTGTTCAAGGTCCTGCTTGGCAATTCAAAGGCTGGCCAGGGCTTATGCCTGATGGATCACCAGTTGGCATATTTGCTAAAATTAAAGCCTTCCACCTCAAGTATGAGGAAGTTTGTCTAGATCCCAATGTCCAGAAGTGGGATGTGACAGTATTAGAAGTCAGCTCTCACAAACGGCATCAGGACAGAGTAGTGTTCTTGCAGTTCTGGGAAGCATTGGATGTGTATATGAGGAAGCATAAATCCCACTTGAAATTCTGAATTATTTGGTTCCTCCTTCTCTGAAAAGCTGGATACAGAAGCAGGGAATACCTTCATCTAGAGACTGGGATTCATTTTAGAGACTTGATTGTGAACATAGAAACGAAGGTCATTGCACTTTTTACTACAACTTGGTGGGATGCTTTATACTGCACAGGGATGTTGTCCATCTGTATCAGCAAATACTGTGGCTTAAATCTGTTTGTTAATATTAGCCTTTGATTCTGTAATGGATATTGTATATTTTCATACAAGCTAATTCTTGAGTAGGTAAATTAGTATTACTTCAATGTTGTTTCTTTGGAAATAAACAGAAGTTCATCATGTATATATAGTGAGGGGTACAATGCTTCTAAAGCCATGTTGCTTCTAATCTTTCAGGGCTCTATGATCCCTTGCATTGAAAATACTTTGTTAAGAATACTTTTAAACTGTAGACTCTGGAACTTCAAAAATCCATCAAAGGGGGTCTGGGGGTTTAGCCCAGCGGAAGGGCGCCCGCCTGGCACGCACAAGGCCCTGGGTTAGGTCCTCAGCCCTGGAAAAAAAAAAAAAAGACAAAATCCATCAAAGGGATTTGACTATGGTCATGAATCATTGTGTTTCCCTGTATGTGTATTACCTACATGGTTGCTCTCTATTTGAAAATGAATAATAAAAAATTGACAGTATGTCTTTAAAATAAGACATCATAGTCACAGCCTATCCTGGAAGATGTCCATCCGATGAGTCTATATGAGAGCAAAGCCCAGACCTCTCATTCCCACTCAGGGTGGCCTAAAAGGGAATCTCAGCTTCAGAATTCTAGATGGGATTAATGTAAACTCCTACTGGGCCCACATTGCTGATCAACATCTTCCTTTCTGGCCTGCGTTTTCTTTATATTGTTCAGCCAAACGATTTGTCTTGATCAATTCTTGACAACTCATTTCTATGTAAGGACTGCTTTGTGGAAAACCCCTGGGTACTGAGACAAACTACATACATACAGAAGGTCCACATTCAGCACTCCTCTTCAATATACTATTGGGATTTTCTATTGGCATTAAGGCCAGAGAAAGACAAAAGAGAACCAAATAGAAAAGCAAGGAAGAAGGAACCAGCCCCACATTTGCTTCTTCTGGGTTAAAGGATGTTGTAAGAGAGGACAAGAGTGTCCCTATAGGCAGGAGAAGCCCACAGATCCAGATGTGTGGAGCACCTGGCATGCAAAGATGGTGCTGAGAGGGAGTTGAGTGGGCAGAGCCCGATTTGCTTTACATTCAGTGCGTAACCAGCCTGTGGAAGCTTAGGTGCATGATAGGGTGTGACCTTGACAGTGATTGGTTCCTTTTTCTCCCCTCCCATGCCACCCAGTCTTTTTTGCTTTAAAAAGTGCTTGCTATAAAAAGTGCTTGCTGTGTGTTAATAAATGAGTTTGAGTTCCTGCTTGACTTGACTCCCCGCTGCGTCTGATTGTCTCCTGGGCTAAGGGAGGCTGGGGACGGAGGGGGGGGGGGAGCAGCGGCCCCACTTACCTTTCCTCGGACCCCGTCCATCTTTCGTGGGATGAAGACCCAACTCAGATGATTCCCTTACTGACTAGAATATTCAAGATCGGTATTCTGGAGTCAATGACCCTGTAGCACATAAGCTTCTAAAGAGAGCTTCACCAAGCCTCGTCTGCACCATCCAGACAATAAGACTTCCACAACACTGTGTTGTGGTTTGGGTGATTCCATTACTGAGGCAGATCTCAGAAATCACTTCTACCAGGTGGGAGAGATGAGAACCATCACTACTGTGCTGAAGTGGCAGTGCACTTTCATCCAGTTTGCCACAAGGCAGGCTGCTCAAGTGGCCCTTGAGAAATCCTTCCATAAGTTGGTTGTCAATGACTCAGACTCCTGGTAAATTGGGGAAGACCCCAAGCAGCCAGAGAAAAAGACAAAGAGAAGGCTGTAACCATAGGCTCTGCTATGGAGCTAGAGTATGTACCCGGACTGCCAGGAGCTCTTCCTCCTCCTCCTCCTACTTCAACTTGCCCCCAGGTGGCCCTCCAGCTATGGTTGTGGTAGACATTGCTCTACCACCAACCCCTGGAATCACCCCACCCCCAACACCAGCTTTTGGGCCACAAAGTCTCCACACATGGGACCACCTCCTCTCTCATGAGGGCACCAGAACCCATCCACTATCCTTCTCAGGTCCCTCAGAGGATGGGAACTCCCACTGGAAACACAGTAGCTCCTAGCAGAGCATTGCCACTCATGCCTTCTGTGGAAGAAAGGTTGCTTTTACATCCTAGTAAATGAATCTTGGAAGATATATATTTCCCCTCCTTTGGACATTCCCTGGTAGCTGAATATGACCAGATACAGGCAGAGAATGACAGTCAAGCCTTCCCTACATCCATTGAAAGGATTGGTTGCCATGAACACAGCTCCTTACAACTACTACTTTACTAAGAAAGATCCATCTTTAATCTCTTAAACCTGTATGGAGACAAGCAGATGAGTGGATTGGAATGTCCAAATGGTTGTTGGATAGAACCATCACATAGGTTCATTTTACATCTTTTTGGGGGAATGAGGCATAAATTGGCTGGTGGTAGAATAAAAAACAACTCTTGAGGGCTGGGAAGGTGGCTCAGTGGTAGAGCGCTTGCCTTGCATGCCTGAGGCCCTGGGTTCGATTCCTCAGCACCACATAAGAAAAAAGAAAAAAGCTGGAAGTGGCGCTGTGGCTCAAGTGGTAGAGCGCTAGCCTTGAGCTGAAGAGCTGAGGGACAGCGCCCAGGCCCAGAGTTCAGGCCCCACGACCGGACCCAAAAAAAAAAATTTAAAAAAAAAAACAACTCTTGACCACTTTTAATGTCTATTTGGTATTTTCTCTTTCATCATGTATAATAAAACTAGTAGTGGCATCAGTGTGATTTAACCCATTGGAAGTCACACCCTCAGAAACAAGCCAGAACCAGCACCCAACAGACCCCAGATCTATTCTTTCTCTCCTTTATACTAAAGAAATCTGGCAACTGTTCCTCTCTGTGCCAGCAGAAAAAGACAAAGTAAAAAATGGCTTTTGATTCCTATCAGTCAGTTGGAAACACAGCTTTTATGGAGCTTTTTGGTACCGAGAAACCTGGAGCTGCTGGTTCTCCTATGGTATCTGCAGCCTAAAGATATGCTGCAAAGAACCCTGGAGGATTCCACTGGGCCTTCATTTCAGTCATCAGTACACAACCATCTGATCCAAAGCCTGAGGTTGTGGAACAGAGGGTGGGAGGTGTGTGGGATGGATGTGGAGGGGCGCCTAAAGCTCTTGGCCCCAAAGGCACAGGAATCTTGGAGGTGGGGCTCACGCTCCCTCAAAGTTCATACAGTACTCTTGTCTGAATATAATGGCCTGCCCCAATGTCTACTGACTTCTGTAGGTACAAATGTCTGGTAGTAAATGCTTGTCAGAATAATCCACAATAGATGTTAAGTGCCACAGCTGCACATTTTTCTTTTGGCAGGAGGATGTGTGCATGGACCATCACTCTTTTGACATAGTAGATGAAGCACCCACTTTCCTTTTCAGCACTGAAAGTCTTTCCACCAGGTAGTAGGAATTCCCTAAGCCCATAGAGCTCTCAGCAGTCACAGAGCTTAGTGTAGCTAAAGAGATCAAGATCAGGGCTGGGAAGGTGGCTCAGTGGTAGAGTGCTTGCCTTGCATGCATGAGACCCTGGGTTCGATTCCTCAGAGCCACATAAGCAGAAAAAGCTGGAAGTGGCACTGTGGCTCAAGTGGTAGAGTGCTAGCTTTGAGTTGAAGCTAAGAAACAGTGCCCAGGCCCAGAGTTCAGGCTCCATGACCAGCAGAGAGAGAGAGAGAGAGAGAGAGAGAGAGAGAGAGAGAGATCAAGGTCACACCCCTCCCTTCCTGGATAACTGCCATCCATGTCTCCAACTCAGAGCAAAAGCCCAGGCCTCCTCTTCTCACCCTGCACAGGTTACCAGCAAATTTCATCTGAGCTTCAAAACTCTCAGTGGAGTTAGGTGAGGCTCCTATGGTGCTTGCTTTGTTATTCTACTGCACCCAAAAAATAAAAGACCTAAAAATCAACAAATTCTACTAACAAACCTTTATCTGACAATTCCATCTGCTTCATTATCTGCTTCTTTATATCACAGTGTTTGGAACAAGTTTGAGGCTTTCTCCTAAATCTAGATTTCTAGATATCTCTACAAATCCTTGGGGCTCAACTTTATTCTTTGATGTCTTGATCTGCTAACTTTACTAGTGATCATTTTTGTTTTATAAAGTCACCATCTGATTCTTAGTAACAACTGTCAGTTTTCCTACCCAAAATATACTACACCTGATAAAAAGAGCCATTAAATGAAACTACATGCATTTGCAGGTTGCTGGGGGGGGGGGGGGGGGGCGAGAGGGAGGAATGTGAGTTGCCTTGTCTATGCTGTTTTCCAACTAGGTGTCCAACTCATTCAAATATCATTTTCTTTTCTGTATTTTACTCCTCTCATCCCACTTGTGAAGAAAAGTTATATTCGCCTAGGAGGCCTAGGACGGCTCCATTGTTTGAGAGAACTATAAAGCTGGCTAAAGCAATAAGCCACAGTAGCCCTTATACTCACAGCTACTGAACCATTGTTCCTTATGCCTAAGAGGTGAAAGTGACCATGGGAGTCATTAAAGGAGATTTGGGAAACCAATATCTGATACCACATGCAAGCCACTCACCACATGGATGGCAGTGGCCTATTAGAGATGACTTGTTTCTCTGGCAATTTGCTCTGTGACACTTTAGCATCTTGTCCCCAATCAAGGTCCTCATTCTCCTGAGCAACTTCTCCATGGGGCGGTCTGTGTTGAGATTCATCTTTCTAGTTTAATTCTCTTCTGATTTAAATGCATCCATCATCCAGACATTATACGTGATCCTCTTCAGACAGCTCTTCTTTACATGGTCATCTGAGACTCCAACTGACCAAATTCTCAGAGAATGTTGATTTCTGTTCTATAATCAAGTCCTTCGTCTTGCTGAT